AGTGAAACAGACACAGCACCACCAAGATGCTAGGTGGCTGGCTGGGCTACCCCCAGTGGGTGTGGACTTGTGGGCCTGGGGTCCAAAAGCCTCACCCTCCCCTGGCCAAAAGGCAGGCACACGACCCAGCTCAGCCAATCTGAGTCCCCTGGGACTCAGATACTAGCCAAGATGGAAACATCCAGAGCCAGCTGGGCCCAGCAGGGGTTTCCCTGCTCACCTTCTAAACTAGGGTCTAGCTCCTCAGCCCCTGTCCACACAGGGCTTGCTCTAGAAGCTTCCACCCAGCTCCCAGGGGGCGCTTTGTGTTGTACATTGCTGTCACTAGCAACTTCAGAATCCTGACCAGCACTGTGGGATACTGGGCAGCAGCTGGGAGCAAGGACGATGGACACAGTCCAAAATACACAATGTTCAAAAAGAAGGCAAAGAAGGCTACACAGTACCATTCTAGTTTTAAGTGACATCCACCTACAAATATATATATGCATGGACAAAATGCAGCCAGAGGGACTTTTCTGACTTTGTGCTCTTCCCTCTTCCCTAAATGTTCCCTGAACATGTATTGTTTTTATAAACTAGAAGACAGGTGACAATGTCTTTTTAACCAGAGATAATTTCCTTCTGATCAGTGGGGAGGATGACAAGAGGGCCAGCCCTGCCCAGAGGATGACACTCTGCCACCAGCCTGATGCAGCTGAACTTGCATGAGTCACAGCATTAAACCAAGGTGCTGTGCTCTTATAAGCTGGGCCCCAAGCTCTGCTAGGACACCACTGGCCCTGAGGGTCATACAACCCAGAGTTCAAATCCCTCTGAGTGGCCAGTGAGTCTGGGCTGGCACACCTCTGGGCACCAAGAGGTCACCACCTCCTGAAACAGTACACTCCCCTGTGCATGTTCAGACCAGATGGACTCTGCTTACTTGGGACAAAGGCTGCCTCCTTGAGGCTTGGGCTTCTCTCTGTCTCAGGGCCTTTGCACATGCTGTTCCTGCTACTTGGAACCCTCTTCCGCAAGGTCTCCACATGGCCACCTCAGTCTTATCATTAGGGTCTCGATGGAAACACTCGCAGTCAGGGATCTAACAGGAAACAGGACCCACACACTGGGCAAACTGGAGGCAAGTGCTGCCATCTGATCTGGAAGGCAGGTATGCCAGTGAACCCACTGCGTGCTAGAGTCCAGGCTGGCACATGGGAGGATCGGAAAGGAAGCAGGCAAGTCCCAGCCCTCTAGGCAGTAGTGGCCTGGCTCATAGCCTCCATGGCAGGCCAGGTAACACCTCCTCCAGGAAGCCTTCCTTGACTGCTGGGCTCCCACAGTTATAATACTGACTTCATCACAGACCATAACTGTTCTCCATCAACTGGCAGCTTCTGGCCTGTCCTGAACTGGTGGGGACAGTGAACCAGAGGGAAAGAGACTGAGGGCAGAAAGTATGAACTTGATCTCTGCCTGAGGACACAGGGTCCTGCCAGGTTGTGAAAGGCTGGTAGAAGTTGAGTGAGTAGACTCTTCCCCCAAATGAAGCCCAGAGAGGTGGATAGACCACCCAAGGTCATGCAGTAGGAAGTAACAGAGCTAGGACCCAGGCCCTGCACTCTCCACCCTAGGCACCCAAACTCCAGCCAAGAGAAGGAACTGCTGCCCAACTCTCAGGGACCCCTGCCTGCAGATACAACAGGCCCAACCAACTGTAAAATCAAGACTCTCACTGGAAAGGACAGACTGGCCCCAGGCCATGTCAGGTCCCCAGGCATCCTGGCCTAGCCCTGCCAGCTCAGCTGTGGGGCCACCAGGGGGTCTCATGCCTCCTCTGGGCATCCAGTTCCTCCCCTATAAAACGAGAGCCTCCACCCACTCAGATGTCCTGTGGGTGAGACTCTGGGCAGTGCCAGCAGAGGCAGCGTGGGAGCTGTGGGTGTGCTGGAGATGGCCCGGCCTCAGGGAACCCAGCCCAGCAGCCCTTTGTGGCAGGCACGGGTTGGGGAGCAGCACAGAGCAGACCCCAGAAGGCCCTTCCATGCCCCATCCTCCCACAGATAATATCAGCCCCCACAGAACCCACACGAGCAGACTCCTATGGTCCGTTCTCTCAGCAAACGCCATGGGCCCCTAAAAGATAGGTGCAGTGGCCGGAGAACCAGAGAACCGGAGAACTGGAGAACCAGGGAACCCAGGATGGAAGCCTTGGGAATATGGTAGCCTGAGACCCTAAGTTCCAAGAGAAATCTTAAACCTGGCAGATGTGGAATCCAATCCTCACTCTGAAGCCCTTATTGCGGGACTGGCTAGGGCCCTGGGGGCCCTCAGAACAGCCCCCATTGGCTCCTAATTCCACAGTCACACCCCCTGCAGCGGGGTGGCCATGGGGGCCTGGGAAGCCCTGTCCCCAGGGCTGACTTTGGCTCCTAGAGGAGCGGGGCAAGAGGCTATAGCAGGATTCTGGCTCTACCACTTATTCACTAAGTCATTCTGGGCTATTCCCTTCCCTGAGCCTCAGTTTACTGATCTGAACAATGAGACAATTATCCCCACCTCCTAAGGCTATGTGAAAAGGGGCTGGTGATAGACAACCCCACCCAACGGCCCTGAAACAGGGCCTGGCCTGGGGGGGTCTTCCAGTGGGTCTCACCAGGGTTTCCAACAGTGAGCTGTTGGGGCAGGAAATAGGAAAGAAGGATGAAGGCTGATCTCCCCAAACCACACCCCCAAATCCTGGCACCAGGCTCCATCTTTCCCCTAGACAGGCCTGTAGGCAGAAGCCCTCCTCCCCAGCAGGGCACAGACCAGGGGAGGGGGGGCAGGACACAGATGGCTACAAGGGTGTCCTAGGTCAGAATGGGTAACCAAGGATGGGGGGAGCCACCTCACCACAGATAGCAATGCTGCACCATGGGAGGCAGGAAGGGACCCCCACGCCACAGCCCATGCCAACCCACCCAGGAAGGGAGTTCATGGCCCTCGCACCTGGGCAACCCTGCAAAGAAGACTATCCCAGGTGATGAAGGCCCAGAGAGGTCAAGCGTTTGCCCCAAAGCACCAGTGCATAGACAGCAGGGGTGGGACACGCGTCCAGGTCTGGCTTGCTACACAGCCCCTTGCCAGGAATGGAGGCGGCGGGGGATGGAGACAGGCTGGTTTCCACACCGTGAATTATTCAGTGGCTAATTCTGCTCCTTAGAGAGGAGGCAGGAGAGAGAATGAGTCAGACCCCTCCCACGGCAGGGCAGGGAAGGGGCAGAGACCAGAAGCCTTCCAGGGCCAAGGGGCCTTGCTGTAGGCCAGGCTGAGCTCAGGGGCCTGATCCCCACCCCGAGGCCCCCATGGGCTGCAGGCATCCACCCCTCACTCACTCCCTACAATACTTCCTGGAATTCAGGCACCCCGGAGGGCTGGAGGGATGGCAGCAAGTCCCCCTGTGGCTGACAGCATGGGCAGGTGGCAGCCCACAGGCCAGCAGGAAACAGCCATCCCGGGTGCCCCAATGGCTGTCCTGGAGCTTCACAACTGATAGTGCACCAAACCCTCAGGGAAGAGAACTTTCCAAAGTAAAGCACACCCTCCTTGCTGCTTAAACAGATTCCTCCAAGCACCAGCGTTACAAAGCCACCACACATCGAAGTTCCCGGGGAGCACAGAGAAGTGCGTGTTGCCCCCACACTGCATGGTCCCCCAGGGCTGGGCTTTTAGAACATGGGTGTCTTTATATGCGAACCCTCCTGCCTCTCTCCTCCCTGCTGTCTCTGGGCATGCCTGGGCCAATCCCTGGCCCGCTTTCCAATCTGCTTAGAAATGCGATCAGCAGGGCTGGTGGACCTGAGCCTCAGGTAAGCACTAAGGCCACGGGCAGTGAGCTCCCGGCAGAGCCAGAGCTGGCGGCCCCATGGCGCCCTCATCCTCTACTTCCGGTTCTCTCCCCTGGATAAGGGAGGCCACAGAGAACAGAGTTCTGAATAAGCGAGGTGTTACGTGGTCCAAGAAATACCAGATTCCCAAGCCATCTTGATAAAGCCATTCCCACCCCATCATGGGGCTCTGCCAGGATCTCCCAGAGAGAAACCCAGAGGTGCTCTGGGTGACCAGGCACCCTGGTCACAGGCTTCTGGAATCCGGATCACAGGGCAGGAAGAGACTGCCTACAGCCTGGTCCCCTGCCCTGCACTCAAATGACAGTGGCTCAGCAGTGGGGGTGGCGCTAAGCTTGGTATGATGCCAGGCCTAGGGCTCCACAGGGAGAGGTCTGATGGGGCCCCTGCCGCCCCCATTCTGCCCAGGCTTAGCCCCTTCCAGCCTCCCAAACTGAGGCCCATCTCGTGTCCCTTCAGCCAGGCCTTCCTCCTTCCCCCAGGGGGGCTACTGGCAAGCTGGTCTCACAGCCACCCACAGCACTGGGTGTACATCCCACAGCCTGACCAGCGAGCAGGGGGTCATTACCGGCCACGGAGGGCTGGCTTCTGCCCAGGCCACTCACCCACCCAAAGCCTGGCAGTGGGATTCCCCAACCGGGGATGAGGGGGTGAGGAATCCCCCCTGTTTGTACCCAACATGTTCAGACATCATCTCTGATCCCAGAGCCCTGAGGTCCTCTGGGTAGGGGACTCTGCTGGGAAACAGCACCAGACCACCCCCAGTGATGGAGAGGAGCTGGGGCAGGAAAGGACAGCTGGCCAAGGGGGGTCCATGGAGGAAGGGAGGAGGCTCCACTTAACCCCAGAAAAAGGGGGCCTTAGTGACACTGGAGGAGAAGGCTAGAATCTGGAGGGGGGGCTGTGGACCCTCGATGGGGGTTGGAGAGTATTTAGATCCTTGACGAGGGAGCCAAGACCCTCGAGGAGGGGGCCCATGACCCAGATGAGACCCTCGAGAATAAGGGAGCTGAGATTCACGAGTAGGAGGGAGGTCGTGACCCCAGGATGGAGGAGTGGGGAGTCTTGAAAACCTCGGGGAGGGGGACCGTGACCCTGACCCCGCGACCCAGAGGGGCCCTGTGTCACCTGCTGATAGTCGGTGTCCTCGGGCCGGAACTGGCTGCTGGTGGTCTCCCACCGCAGGTCGAAGTGGGGCAGCCGGTGCAGAAGGCTCACCCACCAGGGCGCCGCGTAGCT